TTTCTTTGCAATTGGGACACCTTTTTACATATACTTCTATATCTCTTGACTATTCCAGCCACTATGCTTATAACTTTAGCCTTTTTGTGGATCCACTATTTCAGAATGTATTTCATCATGTACACTCTTTATTCAAATTATTTTTTGTGTTTCTAGAGGTACCACAATATCGCCACTGCAAATTATTCCCAAAACAAGAACATGTGAGGGATCTACTGCTCTGAATACCTAGCTATGGAGCAAGATGGGTTGGTCACCCAGCAACCACTTACATTGACCAGCTATGTTGTGACACAGAATGCCACACTAATGACTTTCCAATCTTGATGCAGGACTGTGATGGTTGGTCTGATAGACTCATGAATGTCTGAGCTAGCTCTAGCTATCAATTTGTGTCTTACTTTCATTGTAGGGTATTTCAGCTCAGGAGCTATTCTTTATAATTCTCCATTTTATTCTACTTAATACTGGGTCTTGCATAGTTTCCTCAGCCATTTTCTCCAATGATAAAACATTCAGTCTCTACTCAGTATATTTAGTCCTGGCATCAAATGGATCACCATATCATGAATCAGGAAAGTTTACATTCAATGAAGGTTAAGAAGTGTCCATTACCATAGTGGGTAATATCGATTCCCAACTGTTTCCAGTTTGATGTTCGCATCCATTTTCCTACCACTGGATCTAGTGATTGACATTCCATACAAGATTTTATTATGGATCTTATAGCTGCCTTGGATATAGGTGGACTAACTCATCTTACAAAGGAGATTGCTTGCCTTATTCCAGGATATCTGCTATGCTGGTGAATGTCCAATATCTAGCTCTTGCTCTGGGCAGCAGTGCAAACCTTCAGTGCCATCTCTTCCTCATCCTTTATAGCCTTGAACCATTTTTATGGCACTCTTGTCATTTTGTCAGCTCTGTTCTGGTCTGAATTCACTAATATCACATCAACTGACAGCACATATTCCTCAATTAGCTGCAAGAATGTTTGAAGCCTTGTAGGAGTTACTGACCTGTAGGGGTCTAATAATCCTATTGCATTTATATTATTGCAAATACAACAAAATAATTGAACAACAAAAGAATAATAATATTCAAACAACAGTTTTTGCACAACAATGAATAAAATATTTATATATCCAAGAGGTACAAACGATTGATGTAAAGGTATTTTAAAAAGTTCAAATGTCCTTTTATGTTTGGATTAAAGTTCCGATTAGACATTTTTAAGTTGTTGAATGGTTTGTACAATAATGAGAAAGTATGCTTGAGTATTGTAATTTAAGCAAAAATAAACAGTTCAATTGTGTACTAAAGTAGAAATATTGTTCACAACTTAATTAATGTTTACGAAGTTGTCGCTGAGTGTTCTTTTCAGACTAAAATTATGTTAAAGAAACTTTAACATAAAGCCTGAAATTGTGTGACATGTTAAAAGATTCTGTTTGGCTCACTATTGAGGATGAATGACATTTCATATTTACTGCTAACTTGGGTCACGTGGTAGGCTACAAATTACTTTGGCACAATAGTGTTTTTGTTTGAGTCAAAAACTAGCTCGATACAATTTAGATATAGTTGAAAACATGTAATATATATATATATATATATATTATATATTTTCCAGCCAATCAGAATGTGTCTTTGCATAATTTCATTTGGAGCCTGTTTTAACAGGTTTTATGAACAATATAGGATTTTTATCCTATAGCCTTCTCTTTACCAAAATTTCTCCTGATGTCTTGGTGCATACATTTGCCTTGCCAGTTCTTAAGCCAATGATATGTGCACAAGGAGTCAGTTTTCAGATGGAGCACTTTTTCTAACCATTGAAGAGCCAGATTGATGCATTTTATTATGGCATCAAGCTTGGTGAAATTGATATGCTGGGAGCCATTGTCTGGATGTAACCAGCATGCATCCTCAATTACTACTCTGTTTTTTCCAGCAATACTCCAGTCACAAGGGAGCTCATGTTGACCCAAAAGTCCATTCCTGTAGCACACCATTCTCCCTTCATGGAATCATTCTGTTTCACACTGGCAATTGTTTCTTGTATCATCATCTTCAAAGGAACATCAGTTAGCTCTTAATCCCAGTTGCAGGAAATCATGTTAACCTGCCATTTGATGAATCCACTGGCCACTCTGAGCCAACCATAAATAAGGAAATGTCTAACAAGCTTTTCACAGAGAGAAAACACATTCTGTAACATAACTGTGTTAAAAAGATCAGGAACCCCTTTCTCTCACTTCCATCACAGGGTGTTTCCCCCCCCCACACTCTGACTTCAAGGCCTAATACGTTTGTTCCTTCCTTCAGGTGATCTGGATCCCTGATGCCGAGTCAATGCAACATTATTATTGACAAAAAAGTTGTCAATGTAGGTGGATATTATTTCCTTCACATTGTCCTCTTGAGATATAGCTTCAACAAGTGCTTCCAATTTCATTGGTGCCATGTTGAGACCAAATCCCAGGCATGTCAGACAATATCATTTACTTTATATCACTGTTTGGTATAGCCACAATGATTCATCAATGCAAACTTGCAAACCTATGCTGTCCTCAAGTAGTGATACATTCTCACCTTTTTTTGTGCCATTCCCTGAACTTGGCCATGCAGACATCAGCATCAGTTGTAAATGTGTCAACATGTTGACTGAGCTTTCTGCAGTCCAATACTGGGCATACTTTTTATTTGTTGTGTTGGATTATGGCTATTAGGGGGACCAAGTTTTTTCTCTAAAGTCCAGCTTCATAGCTCTTCCTGACCTGTTTGGGAATGTGGTACTCCAATATCTCATTGCACAGAATCTCTGTCACTTGTCCTCCAAAGTTGTGCACTTCCTTCCATTCAAAATTATGCTGGTTGTTGGCAGCATCTCATTCTTCACTTCCTTGGGGAGCAAGTTGATGCTGATGACTTCACTACTGAGGCATTTTCCTGGCACTCTGTTGCGACATAGCCAGCCTTATTACATCAGAAACATTGCATCATTCGGCAAAACTGGTGTGACAAATCAAGTTTTCTCTGCACATCTCTGCAAGTGATTGGGACTGGAGCAATTATAGCAGACAATATTACACTTACACATGCTTACTGAGTAGCAGAAGCAATCTCTTTGGGTTCCTCATTCATAATAGCCCATGCCTGGGTTTCTAGTTGTTACAATATCATGGCATCCATTCTTGATGATGCCCGGAGAAGCCACTTGACATGCTGTGGCAGTCCTGACACAAATGCACAGACCATCCACCATTCTCCAACAAGCAGACCAAATCATTGCAAATCTGCTTGATACTCATTGAATGTTTCTTCCAGGCAAAGTTGTCATGCTACAAATTGTTTGTATGCAATGAATGAGTCTGTAGTATAGGTGCATCAGCAGTATTTGCTTGATATCTGTTCTCTTACAATGGTTGCATATCATCTTGCTGCATTGAGTTCATTGTATAACTGGTTCATCTGTAGCAGTACCACCAAACTCTGGAATTATTCGATAATCAAATATTTTGTCCATGATGAAATGGAAGAAATTCAATCTGTCAAAATAGCTTATAGTAGATAGTCGCTAATAATCCAGTCTTGAACAACTCAAAAATTACTGGAGTCATTCTGCTGCTCATCTGTACAGCTCACTTTTTATTTAGGTTTTTGAACATGCATACAAATTAGCAATAGTTTACAGCTAGAACCTTGTTAGAGCTTTGACTAAATTGCAAATGGCAGGTCCAACCAGACAGGAGGGAAATCATGGCCTCTTAGCCTCAGGTAAGTTAGAGTTTCTTGGTCCTATTTCACCACAAGCAGGCCTTACAAGACAACTCCATATTACCCTCAAATATATGGTATCACCAAAAGGATGGTACAAACCATAAAAATGAGCCTAAAAGCATGTTTGCTTCAAAAGAGATAACAGTAATATTGTTTCTTTTACAGAAACATATGACATACTGGAATACTAGAGAGCCTATGAGAACCAATAGGAAGACAAATCAGAATTCCCCTAATGATGTCATATTCTATAAATGAAAGAATGTGCTACAAAAAAATAAGTTCAAATTTAGAAAAAGCAAATTTTCTAATGAAAAAGAGCCATAATATAAAAACAAGGGATCTGTATACCAGGCCATGCAAATCAAATAAAGTTAAGAGACAAAGATGTAGAGATGGAAGAATAAATGTCAAAGGACATAAAGGATGACAGTCATGATGAAAATAATCAGGATATGAATATACAAATGAATGCAGATAAAAATGGGCAGATGGGGGTATGATGTAGATTGCCAAAGCAATTAATAAAGTTCTGATAAAGATCAAAAAAAGTCATGTTATAAAAATACATGAGACAGATTAAGGCCTCCTATAAATATAAATAGATTTATGATAAAATTTATGGAAATCTTGAAAATGGACAGCGATAGAAGTAAAAGATCAACCAAAGACATTTCAGGGAGATGTAATGATATGTAAATATTAAAGTTTGATTATTTTCATATGGACAAGAGAGACACTATATAAACGTGAGTAGTCATGATGGGGGAGAGATTTGGTAAGTAGTGATTGTGAGCAACTTTCAACTACTACTACTACTACTACAAATCACAGAAGACAAAAAGTTGCAGCAAAATATAGCATAGTAAATACTTGCTTAGAAAATTGTTTCAAATAAGTTAGGAATGTTTTTTATCCTCATAAAATGAACAAGAAACTCATGATTTATTCTGTTTCTTCATTTTTCTATAAAAAATATTTTAAAATCTAATGACATTCATACAGCTAAACTCTTAACAACTGTACTAAGATTAATCAAGGTCTGTTCAACTAGTCTGAAGAACTGATTACAATAAACAGCTCTTCCTATGCTATTAGGATGAACATGATTAAATTATAATTAAAAAAAAATTATCAAAATATATAACATAAGGAAAAACTTTTGAAATCAGAAAAATATAACTTACAGAAAGTATGCAGAAAATATGCTAACTTACCCCTGAAAGTCTTTTAATAATACTTGTCTACCAATGAGATCCAAAAACTCATCCATTGCAGCACTGTGAGAAATATTTCCAAATAAATCTTCTTCTTTGATCTGTTTCAAAAATAAGAAAAAAAATGATTATAATAAAATATCTTTATCTCAATGTCTACTATGATCTCTTTAGAAGTAATAACAATAATAATTATTTTATATATATATATATATGGCCATATTACAGATTCCTTTATAAACACTATCAATTCTAGTAATGTACAGTGAAACTGTTGAAAAACTAGTTTCCACTATTTACTTATATGCTTTAATTAATAGTCTTAATTGGTTATTTCTCTCATCTAAGTAATTGTTCATGATTTTTCTTATTTGCTTTAATTCATTTTAAAGCTACAAACCTTCTAAAGAACTTTTTATGGACTAATGGGGATTTCATCCAATTGCACATGTATTTTTCTCTATAAATATTAAATCTATTTACATTATTTACATTCTTCAGACAATTGTCCTCATCTTTACTTTATTTCATCCACCGGAGTAGATTGTTCTAGTTTCACATGCCATGCCTCTTCTGGATGTCTCAATTATCTTCCTTTAACTCAATTCTCCAAGTTTTTGTTCACCACTGCAATAGCCAAGTCTTGAATTCTCAACTCTTTGGGGCAAGTCAGTGGATCCAACCAACACTTTTATCCACTCTGTCCATGTAAAAAAGGCCAGAGTGTACAATGGCCAAAATGTCATGAATATGGCAATAAAGATGAAGACAACAGTCTGAATAATGGAAATAATGGAAATAATTACAATACCTCATCTCAGGAATATAGATAAATACTAAATCTAAAACTCACATGTTCAAGTAAATATTTCTTCTACATTTAACAGTTGTGTGATACATCTAAACAATGGGAAATGTAAAATATAACAACATTGTGGCCATAATTTTATGGATAATTGCTAATATAAATTAAGGCTTATATGAATACTGCTAACTGTATTGATATAATCCCCATTTTATATTTGTTGTTAGCAAGGACAGGAGATTTCCTACTTGAATATAGACATCTTAAATGTCAATTTTTAAATGACTGCCACTTAACTTTGAAAAGCAACCCTTCTGGTTTTGCAATGCAATAGGAAAATTTTACACAAACATAATCCATTATTACTTTTTTTCACATCTACCAGTTGAGCATCCTAAGAAGAAAAATTTATAGATGAAATTGCATTCGGTTTCTCCAGATGATTTAATTCATTATCCATGTTCCTTGTGACAGAATGTATACATAAGAAAACTTTAGTTTTTGCATACAAGCACAAAAAGACCTGACTAAATTTATCTGTACTTTTTCTTCTATAATAAGGCTTATCATTAAAGATTGGATTTAATAAAATGAGTTGATTTGCAAACTGAACAGAACTATTTTTTAAAGTTCTTCAGGTCAACACCCAAAAATATTTACATCATTATAACTCAAGTTATAGTTCATCCTTGAAATAACAGAAAATAAGTTACTTACCTGTCCAAATTTTTGATAAATAACACCAAACTTATATTTACTACATAGCACATGTTCATCGTAGGCTACAATTTTTTCAGATGCCTGCAGAAGAAAAATGGTAAGAAAATCTTTTTGGGAGTTCAATCAATAATTCATTAACAGAATCTGTTCCAGAAACTAAGAAACATAGGAATTCAAATAGTCAAAACTAAAACTCTAAATGGTGTTCAGAATTACTATCAGGTCATTCAAAGGGATCACATATTTCATCTCAATATATTACTTTGGTTGTAAAATAAGTGTGGTTAAAAAAAAAAAAAAATCTCATTTAAAGATTTAATAGAAAGAGGAATTAAAACTGTGATTTTACATCAAAACAATATTATTGTTAAAAAAAAAAAAAAACAGTTTAAAATCCATTTGCATTTTTATTGTTTAAATATATAAAAATGACAGCTAAAATTGTATTATCATTAAAATATCCTTCAAGGCACCCAACAAAAGAAATATCTCAATACTTACTCTTGGAGATAAAACAGGGTAGAATTTGTCAATTGAAATTTCTTCACATAAACGCTATGAAAAGAAAGCGAAAAACTAGAATTTCATTTAGTTTCAAGTATTTCACTAACATTATTGTTAAATAATGTTAGAGGGAAACTATTTCAGAATATCATTGAACAACAATATAAAACATAAAATTATTGAATGAAAACTAAATAGAAAAAAAAAAACGAATTTTTAAAATGAAAACAAAGATGGTGAAGAACATAAGTAAAAAGGGTATAATTAAAATGAAAAATTGATTTATGCTTCTTTTTCTCCATTATTTAAATATGCACAAAGATACTTAGATGAAAATAAGTAACACGAAAAAAGTTTATCTTCTTTGGACAGGAATTATTTTATGTCAATAGCAATCATAATACAAAAAATTATATTAAATATTATTAAAAAAAAAAAACAGTAAATTATGATTATTTTTATAACTTAAAGAAAACAAAAAAGATTATTTCTTTTGAGAAGGATTTAATTTTAGAACAAGTTCCTTCAATATTAATGATATTAACATAATGATGGAATTAGGGTTAGGTAAATGAATGATGTGTTACAATAACTATAAAACAGGATGCTAAGATAAACAGAATATGAGAATATCAATTTAACTGGATTAACAAATATCTAATTGACACTGTAAATCTAACAATAAATCATTTTTGTTCTGGAACTTTTAAATTATTATATGTCTTGCTACTCAGACCAGTATACTTATCTGAGTTATACTGTAGCAAATGAGTCGACTTCAACAGTGTAAGGGACGCAACTCTTTCCGTCTGAAAATGTCTGACGCGCTGCAACGCAAAGCAATGTACACCATGTACACTCCCCCCTGATCTCATGATCACAGAGTTGACAGGGAGGTGGCGATCGCTTTCGCTGGGTGCTTCTTCGAAGAGGGACACTGCGAGCCTCATCATTGCTTGTGCTCCTGTCCGAGGTCTGAGGGTCGAAAAACACCACGTCCCTTGGAAGGCTACTGATATCTGAGTCACTGCCTCATGGAGCTGGTGTGAACCAGAGCGATGCTTCACTGGTCTCAGATTCCGATTCGCTCTCATCGTCCAGCGGTGGTTGCAACTGCGTCGCCGGACGCAGGTCCTTAACGGACGGGCACACCGTCGACCATTACCGCCTGTGGGCTGATCACCTCAGTGATGCGTCCGGTTCCAGATTCCGTTTGCACTTGCTGTGCGGGTTTTAATCCAGACGACATCGCCTTTCTTCAGCCTCTCTCCGGTTACTTTCAGTTCCATCAGCGGGTTGGTCTCTATGCCCTTCACTCTGACGTGGTACCTATGCAATGTGTCTGCTGGCGCCGTGAGAGGGTGAGACATCATCCTTCGGGGTCACGTTGTAAGTAGACCGCCTCAGACACCGCGCAGCCCATCCTGGCTGCGATGGTCTTGACGGTCCTGTGGTTCCGCCGATGATTCCATTTCCACTGCACGTGGGCACACCAGAACCGTAGGTGCACTCCCCAGCCATCTGCAAACCTCCCGAATTGCTCGCTGGTGAATGTGGTGCCATTGTCGGTTAATATCTCCGTTGGGGCGCCACGTTCAAGGAAGATACTCTTTAACTGACGGATGATAGTGGCTGCATCTTGCTGACGCAGCAGCCGCCATATCGCAAACCTGGATGGACCACAATCAATTAGTGTCAGGAAATCCTCGCCGTTGTGGTGAGTAACATCTATCGCCAGCCGGCTCCAGTGGCTCCTCACGCTCAGCTGCTCTTTCTTCCAGCGAACGGGTGCTGGGTCTATAGACTGGCACGCCACGCAGCTTCTGACCACTCTCCTGATGTCTGTCTTTTGTACTCCTGGGTCAACCAACTTGGTGAAATACAGTGTCCGCTTGACTCCAGGGTGCCCGCTTTGTTGGTGGACTTCTTCGATTCGATTAAATCGAACAAAACTCACGGATGCAGCGCAGGTGGGTTGCACGGGCTCAATAGCTTTCTTAGTGGCGTCAAGCCACCTTTGGGGCACCCTCGTTAAACAATCTGCTTTGTTGAGGCTAGATTTGACCAGGGACACCTCCATTGTCAGTGCGTACTCTTGCACTAGCTTCACAATCGTGTCGAGCAATCGTCGGATAAGCATCTCGCTGGTGGCTTTAGTCCGCACCCTGGCCATCCCGGTCAGGGTATCAGAGATCCACTTATAAACGCAAGTGGAATCAGTGAACAGACGCAGGGTGGTCGACTTCCAGAGGATTGCCAAGTTGATCCCCTTAATGACAGCATCGAGCTCCGCTAGGTTTATGTGCTGGGAGTCCCTTTCTGGACATAACCAGCAAACATCTTCCACCACGGCTCCATCGTGAACTATCGATACGCCGGTTGCAAGAGAGCTTGCGTCAACCCACACACCGAGATCTTGGCTGCCAACGCACCATCTGTCCCACGCTGGGTCTTCCTTGCGTACTCTAGCGAGGACCTCCCTCATCATGGTGTTGAGAGGGGCGTCGTGAACTTCATCATCCCATCCAGTGGTGACATCAGATGCTCTCCGCTTGATAAACGCCACCGCAACATGCAGCCAGCCACTTACAGGAAGGTGCTCAACTAACTTGCCGCACAAGGAAAATATGCTTCGCCGCGTGACAACTGGGGGCATGTCTGGGAGTTCGTTTCCCCGTTTCCTATACAGAACGTCACCTTCTCCCCAGACCTGCAAACCAAGCACCCGTGCACCATCCTGTAGCCTCTCCGGTTCCTTGCTGAGGAGGCCAAAGTTGTAGAGATGCTCCTTCACACGCGCCGCAGATATGACTCTCTCATTCACGTAATCAATATATGCAGATGTTGCCCGCTGTATGTGCTCATCCTTCGTCAGAATGGCGTCAACAATCATCTGCATAATCGATGGCGCCACATTGAGTCCAAACCCCATGCGGGTCAGGCAATACCTTTACCCCTTGATAAGCACAGTTTGATAGGGCCACAGTGATTGGTGCACACGCACTTGAAGGTATGCCTTGCAAAGATCCAGCACAGATACATTTGATCCTGCTTGTCGCCATTCCCTTAGCTTCTCGGTACACACGTAAAAGGGTCCACATGCTCGTTCAGTTCCCGATAGTCGAGCACCGGCCTCACCTTTTGTTTGTTGTGCTGGAGAACCGCCATTAGCAGGATCAGGCCCTTTGGGGGCCCCAATTCCTTCTCTGGATAAGGAACCAACCATCCGTTATTAATCCAGGCTTGCAACTCCTTGTCGTACTCCGCACGAGCTCGCGGGGGGATTTTATACTCTGGCACACTGTTGTACAGCTTCTCTGGCGGTTGATCGTCTGACCATTTCCAGGATACCGTCCAGGACTTTGTGCGCTGATCGAACTCCGCACGAAAGTCAGGCCGTTCCAGCTCCATTGCTCCACCTAGAGCAAGACCTGTTTCAGTGAAACGCGCCCGACCCTCTTCATCAACATGGACGCCACCCAATTTTTTGATGACGTCCATTCCCAGGAGCAGATCATAGCCGAGCAGCCCTCCGTCCACAACCAGGGCTTGTACAGCTACGGCAGGCCCATCGCCGATGCTTGTGCGGATGACGCTCACTCCACAAGAGGCTAGCGAGCCCCCGCCAACAGTCAGAACTGGAATATTTTTCTTGTCCCACGTGTCACAACATGCCTTGCGCACAAGGGTCTGGGTGCACCCGGTGTCAACAAGCGCAAAGCGCCACGCCCATTAATCCGCATGCTCACTGCGGGTAGCGCCTTTGTTCAGCGGCGATCTGGGGAGAAGACTGGCGCTGTAGCCTCCCCCTTGCCCGTTTCCCGGACAGCTTGCCACGTGGCCCAGCTTGTCGCACCTGTAGCAATGCATACGTCTCCGTGTTCCTCGGTTATGCGTATCCTTCGCACCGCTTCGGCAGTCTTTGGAGAAGTGGTTCAGTCCGCCACATTTATAGCACCTTATGTCCTCAGTTGGCGGTGCGTGTGCTTCCACAGCTGCTGAGACCGGCTCCACATCGTGCTTTAGAATATTCCGGGCTCTGGCCAGTAACTCGTCTAGCCCCAGCTCATTGAGCCTTGACGATGCTCATAGCAGTCGAATGGCGTTGGATGGGAGTCCTGCCAGAAAGGCGCATCCTAGGATTTGGTCGCTTGCTCTACCGAACGGTGCGGCCAGCTTCCTCAAATCGGCCAGAAAGACATCTACTGTTTCATCTAGCCCAAGCCGTCGTTCGGTGAACTGCCTCCAGGCGACAAAGGGGTCCGCACCGAATGCTGCGTATAGAGCTTGTTTTATTTCCTCCAAGTCTGCGTCATCCCTTAGCTGCTGATACACAGCATAAGCTCCTTTGGTGAGCCTAAGAGGGATGACCAGTGCGGGATCTTTAATTTTACACAGCCGACAGACCCGCTCGGCCTTTTCCCACCACTTGACCACAGACGGGCCAGCGGGGGAGCCGTCGAACTCTGGTATCAACTTCAAGTCGAATCTGTCCATGTTGTAATAATGGCCGAAATAGCTTGTAGCAAATGAGTCGACTTCAACAGTGTAAGGGACACAACTCTTTCCGTCTGAAAATGTCTGACACGCTGCAACGCAAAGCAATGTACACCAAACACGGGTATAATGCCGTTCTGCCAATTTCTCCAAGCGACCTGCTTTTATGGAGCCCAGACACACCTCATTAGCATGTGTGTAATGCCACTTTGCGTGACTGCACGAGACCGTGAATATTACAAGTCACGGACGCCATCTTGGATCTTTTCTTTCCTTTCTCAACCCAGAGGCCAGGCAGACGCGAGGGCGTTTGGGAGGTAAACCATTTCTATTTTTCCCCACATATACTCACAGCATTTCAGCTTTCGCCTAATGGCAACCTTCTTGAAATTTACAACTGGAACCATTATTCAATCCATGAGGGTAGATTTTCATTTCTACTTTCTATGTTTAAGGGATATCAGAGAATTAACTAATACAGTTAATTCTCTTTGCTCTATTTGCCTTTACATGGTTTATTTTTTTGTTACATGGAACCAAAGAATATGATTTTTTAGCACTACCACACCCAAGAATTGAACTCACAACCAGATATATTCAATCAACATTTTAATTAATGAGGCAATTTGCTTCTTAGACAATCCAGTGATATCACTTTCTTAATCAGTGACTTCCAGGTGTTATTCATCTCTATGTTTAATCTACTGAGCTGGTTATCAGAGTTTAACTGTTCTTCTTTCAGTAATTTTGTCCTCTGCTATCAGTGTTTGATGATCACCCTTTTCTCTTCATATGCAATCAACAATGCCTGATCTCAATATATCTTCCTTAACATTTTTTGATGTTCATTGACACATACTTTTAGTGGGAGACTGATCTCTCCTTTGTATTCTTTGCCACAGTTGCATGAGATGAGAATACACAGTTGTGGATCATATTTTCTTGCAAGAGAAACTTGGATTCAAGAAAGAGATCTTCAAATGGTTGAACTGCTTTTGAATACCATCCAGACTTTGTATTGACTGCAGTTTGTTTGAATCTTTATTTGAAAAAAAACATATTCACTTATTAGTTCAATCCCTGGGTCTGGTAGTGCTGAAAAGTCACATACTCTGCTTCAGAAGAAGAAAAACAAAGTGTCACAAAGACAAAAAATGTAGCACAAACATAAATAAATTGGTAATTATTAACTGATATAAAATATCCCCTAAGCATTGAACCAGAATGAGAAAAATCTACCCCTAAGATTGAATAATGTGTTTTTTTCAAAATTCTGAGAAGGTTACCAAGACAGATACCTGGATTAAGACTGGAGGGTACAATGACCAAAACAGGATGTTGGATAGCAAGGCAAATAATAATAATAGTTTTTCTTTTTAAACAAGAGTTGAAATTTAAACCGACTTCCTTATTACTTAACTTATTTAAATATTGTTTCTGTAGAGAGCCATTTAGTTTTTATAAGGTACTGACATTCCTTTAATAAAACATATCAATTCCTGTGAAACCCAGAAGATAGAGTTCTTTTAAACATTAACAATTTGATATTAGCTAATATTCCATTTTAGTTGGGGAAAGTCTTAATAATAACCCTTATCAAATCCTAATAGCTTTTTTAAAATTATTATTCCAGTTGTTCAGGTTAATATTATCTTTTTTATTTTATGATTATGATTATGTTTTAGTCAATACATTCTTCAACTTTTTACTGGGGGTATTTTTCACCTAGTAGTAGTAATAATAGTGGCATTAGTAGTTGAAGTTGTTAGTAACAGTTCTGAGTCTGAGTAGCAGTTTCACTTATAGTTCTTTTGACCCAAAATTATACCTGGCTCTTAAAAGAAGAAATTCCTTTTTTTACAACATAGGATGACAACTGTCAGCATACATTAAGCTTACCTTAAATCAGATGGGTGAATAAAAACAAAATATTTGTGGCCAATAACAGTGTGATTTTTCACAACAAAACTATTGATTAAGGTCTCCTCACAAAACAGTCTGTATTAGCATTTCATGCAGTTGTGGAAAGGAATATAAAAGGAAAACCAACTAATTCCTAAAGATTAAACTCTTAGAACACCGAGGCAATATGATGAAGTCATGCATAGTTGATTATTTTTGGAAAGAAAAAGAGGCATAGGGCCATTTTTGGAATGAGGTCCAAATAAGGAACCTCTCTTGATGGTGCAGAGAATAAAGGAAGCTTGTTTACATAAGCCTGAAAATAGAAGAACTCAGAAACAGAGAAATAAATTTTATCTCAAAAGCATATTGAGAAAATTAGCATATGATTTGATCTAGTTGGTATATATAGCTAGGATTTTTTTAATTCTGATAAAGACTGCTAGAAACAACCAACTCTAGAATTATAATAGTAGGAATGGCTTTTTACTGGATAGGGTTATGTAAAGCATGGTGAATGAAGTGAATATAAAAATATTCTGCTTACTTTTGCTAATTTATCTGGAGTTGGGGAATCACTAATAATATTGGACGGGACATATTCATGTCGTAAAAAGTTCCTTGTCCTGTAAAAGAAAAAGAAAAAAACAAAAAAAAACTGAAAGTCATTATTAAAAAAATAAATATATAGTCATAACAAACAAACCTTTCAAAAATTATTTTCTTAGTTAGTAACCCCACTACAACCACTATCATCAAAAAGGTTAAATTTTTATATGGTATATTGCATTTATCATTTTCAGGTAAGATGTTCAAGTAATCTGTCAAATGAAGAATCATTTTAGAAATCTATTTCTGAAGTAAATTGGAAAATAGAGTTATCAATTATGATAAGACAAAAACTGAATCTTTACTTTTTTTAATAACAATTATTTAATATTTAATTTAATGTACACACTTTACATACTGATAAAATTAAAATGAGCATGAAAAAAGCACAAAATTTACATAAGTAAAACAATTGTGGTTAATATCTTTCAGCTTTTAAGAACTCAATAAATTGGCATGCTTATGTAGTTAAATGTGACAACAGGATATCTTGCCAATAGTAAACTCTTATTTCTTAGTAATAAAAATGTTTTCCAAAATTATGAATTCTTCAAAAAATATCTTCTATTATCATAAAGTATCACAATCTTTAAGTAAATTTTAAATGGGATTAAGTGTTAAGTATTTCTTCATGGTTTTACCAGAGGTAGAGAGCAGGTCCATTGTACATGGACTGGACAGCCAATTATGATGTAATGTTTATGTACAAAGAATTATTATTTAATTAGAATTTGTGACCTTTACGTTACAATTTAATTCAATCCAATTGACATGAAAGGAAATTTTTTACCATTTGATAGAAACACTACTAGATAGATATAAAGATTTTCAATACCAGAAAATCAAAGTGAAGAGGAATATGACCAGAGGAAAAGTATAGTGGATTGATTGATTGTGTTTAATAGCCCCTCGACCTCTTGTGGGTCATTTAAGGCCAAATTAAATGTAAAGTGGAAATATACATTAAAAAGCAAGGTTCCATAAAACAATCCTTGAAATACTTTTTTAGACTATTCTTCTTTTGTTGGCCAAACATATCTCATGATGGAGGATGCCCTTAAATTTCAAGGATGCCTTGAAACAATTGGTCAATAAAATATATTCTATAATATCATTAAAGTGTCTTGTATAATCATCAACTTCTATTAAAAAAACCTGAATGTATTATCTGCTTTCAATTCATAAATATAACAATCTTTACTCCATCTCTGACTGCATGGGAACATTAAAGTGTTACTAACTGATACATTTTTCAAAGGTTTGGCTAACTCTAATATTAAACTCAGTATTTTGAATAATTCTCAACTTCAAGGGCATTTATGAATTTGCTAATAAAATTCAAACTACAGCTAACAATGTCAATTTATTCAATCTACCTGCCATGCAATCTTCATTTACAACATTTAGCAGCAAGTAAGTGAAAATGCTAATACTTTCACAGTAGAGAATAGCACAACAATCATTCAACCTGTAATAAATGTCACAACATGTGAACACTTGTTATAGCCCAGAAAATCAATAAAATCATGGTGATAAAATCTAAACCTAAGATAATGATGACAAAAACATTTTGTTACTATTACAAACAAATTCTGAATATTATATTTTTGGAGTGGTAAGGTAAAGTTTAATATTTATAAAGACTTTTCACACCAATATTTCATTGTTCCTCTAATCACTGAAGGTTAATACAATCTACATGACTATAGGAAATAGTTTCTGTAAGCCTTGTTTTGTCATTACCCTTACTCCCTGTAGAAATATATTGGTTCTTGCAAATTAGTTGCATTCCACTGTAGTAGTAATAATCAATCATCTAAAATTACATTCTCAAAAGAACCAAACTTCAAAATGATGCACTCCACAAATTTGTGTGTCTTAATGGCATAATAAAAATGCAAACTTCACTTTATTCATCACATGCAAATGAATAAAGCAAAAGAACTAATGGTACTTGATTGAAGATCACTAAATTGGCTCTAAAAACATCCAAACTAGACAATATACTTGGTCCAATATATTTACTGAAATATTTTTGAAAGTCAGTTTGCTATTAGAAATATGTATAAAAAATTCGGGTCAGAATACAGGTTTTCATTTCTTTAAAATCCCAAGTTATACAGGATATGTTTCACTATTAAATTGCTATATGTACATAAAATAAGGAGTAAATAGTCTATCTGATGACATGGTGATATCACTTGACATGGTAACATAAGAGTCTTGTTACTTAGCCTTTGAGCTGGGAATCAAATACAGTTTCTATCCGTCTTCAGCTGTTCTCATCTTAAAGAGATGCAACAAAAACAAAGTGATCCTGGCCTTTGCTATTCCAAGTTTGGGGTAGCAGCACTAATACACATTGCACTATGATGGGTGGGTTAGAGTATTCTGCTGATTTTGTGACACTGACAATTAGTCAATTTCTATTCCTGTAGAATTAATTTATTAATTAGTATTTAATTATCAAGCCAACTAACATAAAAGATAATGTGTAACAAATTTTAAACAATGAATATGCAATAAACTCTTTTTTACTCCAAGAAAGACCCCGATTAAAAAAAGAAATAATTTTACCTTAAAATGATGCGTACACATTCTTGAGATGTTGAATTATCCAGCTTTATTGACATCACAATTGGGCCTAATATATCATCTGTTATGTAATAATTAAAATGTTCCTGAAAAAAAAAACAAAAAAAAACAGTAAAATATTAAAAGCAATAGTCTAGGTATGAACCTGTCAAAAAGTTTACTTACTTTAAATATATTAGTTAAAACTAGTGAAATTCCATCATATATTATTGCAATTTATTGCAGATATTTTTATATATAAAAAATAGAATATGATTTTCCATTTGGGAAATAACCAAGACACAAGAAGCTAAGTCTGGTGAATAAGGTAAATGGCTGCTTTTTGCCATGGATTTCTTAGCCAGGAATTCACAAATTCATGTACAGGGGTATTGGCATGCTGGACAAGTTAGGGTTTTTCATTCAAACAAATTCTCATAAACCTTTCAACAATTCTAAATAAACATATTAACAGTTTGTCCTTGTGTTTAAAATTTGTTATAAACTATTCCCTTATGATCAAAGAAATACACAAGTATAGTCTTGAATTGAAGCAAGACATGTTGCTTTTTTCAACAAAAGTGAATTCTTTCTTTTCCACTGCAGGTTTCTGGGTTATATATAAATCACATTTCATCACCAGTAATGACCCCGTCAAAAATATTTTCATTATCATATGAAGCATTCTTTCTGCTCATCTGTCAAGATTTGAGGCAACATTTCTGAAGAAATTTTTTACATTTCCAAATTCTGTTTCTCTATTTATATTCAATTCTTCTGCTATTATTTGCACACTTAACCTTTGATCTAAGCACACCAAAGTTAAAACACTGTTTAAATTTGCATCTGTTATTTATGTTTTAGGCTGCCTATTTTTACATCATGCACCTCTTCCTTATTTGAACTGCTTGTACCATTCAAATACCCTTTATCTCTTCACAGCATGTTCTCCGTCAGATATTTTTAATTGGGCCCATATTTCAATAGCACTTTTACCAACCTTCACACAAAACCTAATGTTAATCTGCTGCTCCAGATCCCATTCACTCATTTTCAGCCAACAGTATAACATGAACACCTAAAACTTCATCCACTGACTCTTCTTCATCTCAAGAAAGCAGAAGTTAGAATATGCCCAGATGTATTCAGGTACAAATGTTTGCCTGATTCATTACTTTAGTGTCATTTTGCAGTCATTTTGAGAATTAAATTGTCACATCTTGTATCATTGGAAACTTCCTTTTTCGTGGTTCCAATGATTTTAAACAAATGACCCATTCCATTTCTAATAAAAAATCACCCAAAATATAAAGTTACCATCCACATGCTTTACACTGACATTCATAGGATTCCTAGCCTTACTTTACCACTACATTCACTGTACCTTATTCCAACTAAAGAATTCAATTTTAGCCCCATCACTCCATAAGACTGAGTTAAAAAAAAGAAGGCACACACAAATTCCAATCAAACCCTGCAATGATGACTTTGGAGCAAAGGAGTTTTTCTTGAACAGTAAGTACTGAGAACATGTTTATTGAGCCCCCTGGTTGCTATGCATTGTAATACATTTACTTCATTGTTTCACAAATTAGAAACAATATCTCTTAGGATTCTTTGTGCATTCATAGACAATCTTTCTTTACAGTTTTAGAGAGTTTAGGTTTACAACATCTTCAAGGAAGAGTTGCAACAGTTTTTGGTTTACCATATTTCCCAATTATATCTTGTACAGTTGACTTTGGTACTAAAAACTGCTCAGTTACAAGTCCAAAACTCATTCTAGAATTGCAACCATTCACATTGTTTCTGAAATAGATTGAGTATTTATTCAATCCCTATGATCATGTTTTTTTATAAAAAATATTTTATAAAAAAAAAAAAAATGTTTTAATATTTGAAAGGTGAATTATTATTTTAAATGAAATTGATTGTATCATATGGATATATTTGCAACCAATATAATGCATTTTGACCTAAAAAGTGATAATTCCTTACTGCTTAAAGAAAACATTTTATACTTTAGCTTCAGTAAACATATTCTGAATATGTCCATTAAAAAATGATGGTTCCATTTTTTTGTTAAAGAAAAACAAAATACTGAATACTTTGTTTTGGCCTCCAAAATGTATTTTGATCAGCAAGTTATTTTAATTAGGCATCATGAAACATTTGCCTTTAAACATAAGAATCATTTTCTAGCAGTTAACAAATCAAAATATTGCTACTGATGTCATCCTAGCAAAATATTTTGCAATTTAAAATATAAAAAACTTCCACATTACAGGAAAATGTAAACTAATGCACTACAAATTACAACAGAATTGTCACAAATTCTTTGACTTAACTGTAAGCAGGATGCAAATCTAACTTTTGGAGAGATTAAGTAAACATATTCATGTAATATGTGAAAAAATCTTATTTGTTTATTATCTTTTGCAATATAGTGCTAACATGGAAAAGTCTATTTTTGAAATAATTACTGCATGACAACACATGCTTAGAGATATACATCAACGTTTACATACTTTAAATATATAAACAAAATAATCTATAAGTGATGCTTAACAAGTTTTCTTTAACAGTTTCATGCTCAAACTACTTTTATTAATTTAGTTAATATTATCATTTAGTTAAAGAGATTCAAATGAACTGCTAATTATTTTTAACTATTAATATTTATTAATGAGAAAATAGATAAATTAGGAATTATATACTCACTTGTCCAAGAAAATATTTCCGGTAACATTCTGCATTTTCTAATCCAGTGTTTTCCAATTTAATCTTGCCAGGTGTATCACTGTCATTAGGAGTTTCGTCAAACCAATAACGACCAGACTGTGGCAAGAAAATCATAGGGTAGGGACCAGACTTTGAGAGCAACTGAATTAAAAAAAAAAAAAAGGAAAAATAATTATTTATTAGCTTCTATACTTTATACAGTTGAAAGGCAAATTCCATTTTCATTAGCATAAAAATAAAAACAGTATAACCTTTGTATTTCCTATAATGATTTTCAATTTGCACTAAATATGTCTATGAAATATTTTATACACTTTTGATTTTTAACCGGTTTAAAGTTGTTCAAAAAGATAAGTAATTACCACTGCAGAAAAAAAAAACAAAAACAATAATTTAGTGACATAACACAGTGGGAGAAAAAAGGACAAAACCAAACCTTTGACATTCAAACCTTTTATGATTATCAGAAGAATGAGATGAAAAGAGAAAGAAAAGAAGATTTACAATAATGGTGTTGCAAAAAATGGTATTTTGTCACAGAAAAGAAACATCCCGTTAACAGTTCTTTGAGATCTTGTGATTTCTTCTTGTGGAGGTCTTGGAGTCCAGTCCTCCTGAGGATTGAGAAAATATTTCTTTATGTGTAGTAATTTCTACAATCCTGGATTCCACAGATCTGTTGGTGAAGTTTTTGCCCAAGAGCAGTTTTTTGTACATGCTTCTCATTGAAAGCCAACATGGGAAATAGGATGTAAGATTCAAAAGGGGTGCGCAGATCAGAACAAAGCCACTGCAGTAAGGGGCCTTCGGATTGGTTCCTTTTCAGCCAGTCACAGGGTTCACTGTAACAATGCCAAGGAGCTCATTCAAAGTGGGGGGTTACTTCAAAAGACTCATAATAATTTCAATATTCTACCCAAAAATTGTTTTGCTTTGTTTTTTTCAAAAAGGTTTCATGCAATAATAAAATGAGAAAAGATATCAATTTTTTTTTTGCATTTTAACAAAAAATTCCAAGAAATGAAAATAATAATAGAATGAGAAATCAAGGTTGGAAACATTATTTTCTAATTCAAAATTTTTAAACTTTTAAATGTTCATTTTTGTTTTTTAGGAAATTAAAGGAGAGACAATTGCAGAATATAACATTTTGTCAAATGTTTAGTATTCTGCAACATGTAATTTACAGATTTAAATATGCAAATCGGATTAGTTTTAAGTAATGTTTACTTTTGGGGGAATTTGTTTGCCTTTGATGTTTTTGGTGCTTTTAGGACGTTGTGAAATCTGTTTAGAAGCACCATTAGAATCTGGAACTTGATTAGATACATCTGAATTTGAAATATTAACTTCTCCATAAATTGATTCTTCTGAATCAGGAATGACACTAGGGTGGTGAGCATGAGTTAATGACACTAGTAGCAGATATAATAATTTAATTGAATGAACCTGAATAAAGCAGTCACCTCTTGACTTTCACAGAATGAACTTTGTTGTCATCACCAATAATTAATTCCAAAACCCTTCCCAGAAGCCAAAATGGTCAAGTTTTAGCAGGATTTTTTATGTTGTGCACTTGAAAGTATTCATTGAATTCACTGGAAGCAAAAACTTCCTCTATGAGATTGCAACCAGCAATAAAAGATCTGGCATTATCACTGTAAATATGAGATGGGATATTATATATATTTGTAAATCTAACTAAAATTAGAATAAATGAGTGCTCATGTCTTTAACTAATTCTATATGTACTGCCCTAATATTAAGACAAGTAAATATAAGCATATACATCTTCACTAACACTGTGGTCACTTTTCACTCAAACATATCCAGTGTAGTCAATCCCAGTATGTAGAAATGGTTTAACGAGGTTGACTGTGTTTAGGGAGATTCATAACTTTAGGATATTTGAAAGCTAGATTACTAAATTTTTTGACATATGATACATTGTGAAATAACATTTTTGACAGCTTCTCTCACTTTAGGGATCCAAAACCCTGAAAGTCAGATTATGTTTAAAGTTGACTCTATACCAAGATGTTTGCATCTTTTGTGATGTTCAATGATCATAAGTTTAATTAAGTCATGATCCTTAGCCAACAGAACAGAATTGATAACTTCAGAATCATATGTTTTGTTTTTACCTATTCTACCTTTAGCTCTGATTACCCCTCCCACTTTCGTTTATAAATAAGTTCAATTTTTTTATTAATTCAGGTAATTTTTTACCTTTGGATACTGAAAGTATGCAATTTCTTCTGCAAAGCTTTGTTGTTTGCATTACCTTAAATAAAGTTAGGCATGTTAACTAGGATCTTGGTTCATGTGTTTTAATCTATTTCAAATTTTAAATATATTAGCTGTTACATTAATTATTAAAATTTGTGTATTTATCAAAGGGTAACACAGGTTGTGGATTACTGTTAGTTACAATACAATTTAATGAAGTTGATTTGCACAATAGATTTATTCCTCAAACTTAAACACTAAATTTCACTCAATGGCCATTCTATAGGACTTCAACTGAGCCATTCAGGTCCCGAGGTCTAAAGGACTAGATTTTGCCAAAATTTTAGCAAGGTTATCCCTCTTGTGAGGAAGTCAACTGTTTTGTTCAGTATGAACATATTTAAATTTTGCTGACAAAGACTTCTTTTCTTTCAATTCTCCAATCATGTCCTTGAGTCTATTCTTCACAAATTCATTTTTGGTTTTAATGTTGTCAAACACTAGCCATGACAACACATTTTGTGCAGCTATTGATTTAAAATATCTCTGATTTTAATTCGGGAGTAAGAATTTAATAATAGTAACAAACACTTGAGAGCCAAAAATACAGTTAGTAACTCCAGTGTAGGTAAACTCTTAGGCTTCATAGGTGCTACTTTAGCTTTCAAAAGTAACAAGTAGGACTGATTGTTTTGTTCACTATAACCTGCAAACCCGTAAGCCTCCTTAGAGGTATCACAAAATATGTATAAATCTGCTGGACTGTCCTCATTGTGTACATATCTAAGGAATGTTAAGGAATCAAGCTTGATAAATAAGACAATACAGCCTGAAATTTTCCTGACACAACATTCATCCCAGTCCAACCTTTGAGACCACAAATCTCTCAAAAGCATTTTATCTCTGATAGTAACAGGTAAGCACAAAGACAGGAAGTTGAAAACCCTAGCAGTCTGTGATAATATTCTCCTTTTGGTTTTAACAGCATGGTCAATAGAGGGCTCAGAAAACTGAAGTATGTATTCTAGAGTAGAATACTTGTATCCTAAAACATTTTCATGATTGCAACCATGTTCTATAAAATTTCGATCATTTATTATTTGGGATTTAAGTCTTTCACAATTTGTATACCATGATCTAAGATTAAAATTACCCTTTTACATACGTTCATTAGCAACTGTATATAGTTTTGATAACTTATCAACAGAATCAGCTGTTTTAATCAAATTGCCAACAGAAATTTTTCTTTAACATGTCAGTACAACTATCATCAGAAAACTTGTTTGCATGGTGTTTTATTAAAAAAATTTAAGATGAAAGGACTACCATTAAAACCAAAAATAATGGTTGTATATCTAAAACAAACAAGCTTATCTCATTCTTTCATAAAGAAACAAAACCTGTTACAGTCTTCAAGTAATCTAACCTTTATCATGAGAAAGGCCTTACGTATGTCTGCTAGCATGACATTTGATCTAAATAATAGCAGTAACTCTAACATATCTTTTATTAAATTGATATCTGGATAGGCTGCTTCTTTTAGGGAGTATTTCCCCTTAGTTTTTAGAGAGGAGTTAAAAACAGGTCTAATTGTTGTTGTAGTTTGCTCCTCAGTTTTACTGACATGCCTATGATGTATCCAAATATAATTAGCAAAATTTTCTGGCACTAATTCAAAACATTTGATAATACCATCAATGCTCCTGTTATTGGAATACTACTGCATAATCTTTAAATAAGTTTTGAGTTTTTCAACAACTGTGTTTAAAACAGAAAGAACTACTCAATGGCTAGAAGACACAGACTTGATTTTATCCTCATGCCAAGAGAGCTTAATGTGATAGGCTTTATCCTTATATTCAATGAAATTTTCAAATTCTTTGATTTTTTTATTTTGTCATAATCACAGACTGAATCATCTTCCGGAGCTATGCCCAGAGAATCAACATGGAACATTTTCTCTAAACTTCACTGCACATGACTTTTGTCATAAATTTAAAAAACTTTTTAAGGGATTCATGACAAAATTGACTCTAATATCTGAGCATATGGAATACCCAGAAACCATAGCATGATAGTTGTGCTGACAACATCTTTCATTAACTTTCATTGGGGTTATTTGGTTCCAGTATAAAACTGGGTATAGGAGGGTATTGAGGAAAGCATAAAAAGAAGAATGGTGGAGAATAAAAAGAAGAACAGGGATCAAGGTAACAGATGTCAATTGACATTACAATTAAATTTTTGATTATAGTTATCATGGAAGCAAATAAGAACAAGGGAGTTCTACTGTTGGGAAGTGTGAGAGTAGAAGCTGTTATAGTAGAAGAGGCATTTACATTTAACTGTTTCAACAATAAAAGGGTGGGACTGGCATGCCAACTTAGTAGCAAACTTAAATTCATGCAGTGAAAATAGCTTGTCAGCACAGATGCCATGAAAATATTTATAGAAAAGAGAGAGGGAAGCCACATTATGTTGGTGAGAAAATGACTGTAGTTGAGACCCCAAATCAGGACAAATCACATTACATATCCGTCTTTGGATTTTGTCAGGAATCTCGAGATGAACAGTGGAGGCACCAGACCATATATGGCAACAGTATTCCATGCATGGATGAATGGTAGATTTGCAGATCTGAAGGATGGACTCAGATGAGTAAAACCTTTTGGTGCAACACAGAGAATCAACTTTTCTTGTAGTAGATTCAGTTATTGATCCAATATAATTGTTCCACCTGAGGTGGAACAATTTCAGGGAAATCAAGAAGGTGTAGTGTGGTGCTCTGATAGAGTTGAGCATCACCCATGCTGATAGGCAGGGAAGTTTCTCTATGGTCAGTAAATAACACAGAGAATCAACTTTCCTTGCAAAAGATACAGCTATTGATTCAATGTAGTTGTTCCATCTCAGGTCAGTGGAAATCACAAGTGTGAAGTGAGGCACTCCTGTGGAGTTGAGCATCAAGCATGCCTACAGGACACAGGGAAGTTTCTCTATGGCAAGTAAATGACAGTAATTTCATTTTGGATGCATTAAAATTCACAAGCCATTTTCTGCCCCAGTCAACCAGAGATTGGAGGTCATTTTTTAGAACAATGGCCAGGTTAACTTTATCAGCAATGCCAGATTTACTATTGAGACAGGAGTAAATGGTAGTGTCATCTGCATAGATGCATACTTGAGAATTGATGACGCCAGAAAAATCATTGTTGAAGATCAAAAACAGTGTAGGATCAAGGATAGAACCTTGAGGAACACCAGTATTTACATGGAAGGAACTGGAAGAGAATCTGTTCTGGACAATCTTCATTTCATGGAATGATTGGATTAAATCAAATAATTGTCCTGTAATACCATATCCCTGAAGCTTACATAGAAGGCCAGCATGCCAAACTCTGTCAAAAACCTTTGATATATCTAGAGCAACAGCTCAAGATTTGCTGCTATTATCAAGAGCTTAGTATACATATTCAGTTATGGCCATACCGGGCAAAGCGGAAACCATATTGTTTGTCAGGCAGCTGATTGTGGGAGCCTATGAGTGATCTATACATGCATAATTCACGCCATGGCTCCTAGCCCAGCTAAGCTCTCCAGTTGTATTTCCATGTCCATTGTTTTCTTTGTTTGTTGTTTGTTTTTGTCTGTTTTTTTTTGTTTTGTTTTTTAGGAGTAGATAGGCTGACCATATGGATTATTATAGATGGATAGAGGAGAATCATGAGTCAGAAGGGCTATGGATAGGGAATCTGGAATGTAAATATAAAGTTTTAACTTAGTTAAAGTCTAACATTTACTTCTTCTAGAAGAGAATCAATCCACATATGTAAGCCACAAGTAAAAAAAAAAAAAAAAAAAGACCAATGCCTGTATGAACCCAAAAAGTCACCAAAGACATAATATTCAAAGTTTTCAAAGAGGGTAAAATAAATTTCAATTCAAAAAACAAAATAAAAAGGAAGGAAACATTAGTAACAAAGAAAAGAGAGAGGGACATAGAGAATAAATAAAGAGGTAGTCTAAGCAATATTCAATGAATATTAGAAACATTAGAACAGGCACCCTGTTAGGGTGTAAAAGTATAAAATAAAAAAGATTTATATGAATTGCTATTCTAAAAGCAAATAAAATTCCTTTTTCTGTTCTGAAAATAAGTAAAATTTCTATGTTGTTAAGAAAAAATATAGTTTTCATGAACTGTTGCTTTCTGAAATAAAACAAATTTGAATTTCAAAGAACTGTTAATCATTGATGTTCTCCATCTGCCCTGGACCCCTTTAATGGGAAATATTTTGTGGATAACCCCTTTTGCCCAAACATCCAAAGGATACAGGATTGGTATACTAATATTAGTGAGTTATCACAAACCTCTGATACCTCTTCCATTTCTCTAACCCAATTAGGTGAAATGTGAGTTTAATGGTGGTGTTGAAATTTTGAATCACTAACCAATTGACTTTGCCACTTATGTTTGTGTTTCAATATTTATTTGTTAGGATATGTAGTGGAGTGTATGTTTTTAGATTAGTTGTATCATAATTCTTTTGGCATATATAAGTATTGACATGAGTAGCCAATTTTTCACACTGGCCTGTTTTGACACTATCATGCGCCCTGATCATTGAATTCTTGATTACTTGCTCAGACCTTGTATGTTTCTGCTTTTGTTTATTGTTGGTCAAGGAACAATTTTATCCAGTTGGAGAATTCACTTTCTATTTGATATTTCATCCTGTGGTTATGTTAGATTCTCTTCCTAATATGAGCATGCTCTTTCTGCAACAGTTGCTGCTCTTCTGGAACTGACTAGTAAGCTTGGTTTCAGATCTATTTGTATAATGCACACTCAACACTGAGTTTTAAAATGTGATGGCCAGACAGCAATCACAAAACTTCTCAGTTCTTTATAATCACCAGACATATTGTTGAAAACATTCAAATCACAAACACTTCAGCAACATTTACATTCATATATATCTGGATTAAGATATAAGAATAGTTAATTCAAAACTTGAAATATTCCTTGCCTATTATCATTAATCAAACTTGCATTAATTAAGGACTGCTGTCTAAATACACACACTCACATATATATATTTATGTATGTATGAATATATAATATCACACATTGAGTGCTGGTGTTAATAAAATAGTGCTCAATGTAATATAACAAAGCTATAAATTATATATTAATAAATATTCTTTTTTCCTCACCAGTAGTATTCATTAATATATATCTGCAAAGAGTGCAATGGAATTGTATTCAAATTGCTTTTATATTTAATCTTTATTTTTACTTTTAATCTCAAATCTAAAGTTAAATAGTTTAAAAAAATATACTGGATGTATTGATTTGAAAAGGTGGACACACCCTCAGCATATTCTAGAATATAAACAGACTTAATAAATGCTATGCTTATGTTTTTTTAATTTAATAATTCCACATAAGTGCCTATAACAAATTTTTGTCATTTAGTTTAAGTTAGTTTGTTTAGAGAAAAAATGTAGTATATATAGATGTGGATATCTCTGGACAATATCAGGTTCTGTAAAATTTTGCCAGATAGTTTAAAATTCTGTATTCTATGAATTTTATTTTACTAGTAATCTTCTTACTTTAGTGGCTAGTCATTTGTAATTTGATGAGAAAATGTTTCTATATGCTATGTGAGTCACAATAGTTAAAAAAACAATTGCTGAAAGTGAAAATTGCATAAATGTAGGTTTAAATGTTACATGATTTTATGTCCAATTTTTAAATCAACTTTAATTAGAAGGAAATAAAAACAGATTTATGAGCTGATAGAATATATGTAGAAATGTATAGACAATCATAAAATGGAAGTGGTAACCAAGAGAAGAAATAACATAGAACTAATCAGCCTCTGATAATTTATTTTCTATATTGGTTGACTGGCTGCTTGTTTTTTAGCAGCATATCAACCTCTATGGGTTATTTAATGCCAAAATCTAAATATCTTGGAGATAATAATAGTTTTAGTGATAAATGTCTTACTAATTAACCCATAGCTGTTGGGAGAAAAAAGAGAATTAAATATTATAACAAGGCAATTTGCATGTGGCAAACTGTAAAAAACAAATAAACAGGAATTCAAAACTTGGCAATTTTAATATATCAGCTATCATTTTTTCAAAATCCATTACAAAAATATGCATTCAAAAGTTTACAGTAAATTAGAATTCTCATTTGTTCAAAATCTATTATTGACAATTAGGCTCAACATTATTAACTTTAGTGATCAAATGTGAACAACAACATTCAACATGATGTGGCAGTTAAATTGGGTTTCAATTTGTTGAATATATAACATTAATGTAATTCATATGTTCTGTAGCTTTTACTTTACAAAAAAACGTCTATTTTTTTAAGACTGAGTTAAAATTTGACTTTTATAATAAACAATATACTTCTTAATACAAAACCAATTGATAAAAGAAAGTGAAGGATGACAGATTCTCAAATAATCATTTTCTTTGAGAAACACAGAAAGATATAACATTCTTACCAATTTCTAGAAGAGCTACAACTAAAAAAAGAATGTATTTACTTCTCTGACAAGGTCTTCATCATTCTTCTGTTTCGGAAGCTCTTCAGCTGATTCACTAACCTGAAAATTAACAAGCTCAAATTTTTATTTTGCTCAATGTGCATTATAAAAAAAACAAAAAAATAGTAAATTATTTTTAAAACATGACTGAATCAAATGCAATTTCATTATTACAGTTTTATTATGATTTTTAAAAATTAAAAAAATATTGCTGTCTTATTTTCAATATTGTACAAGCAAAAATTCAAATTAGAATTAGGACCAAATAAAGTGATAATGCATTAATACACCTTGTTAATATGATTGCCAAGAAAAATGTTAGACATGATGGTAATAGTTGTTGTGAATATGGATTATCTCCTCTTAGATAATCCAAGCTATAAAAGCTGTATACTTCCGCTGTCAAGTCAGATGAGTAGTAGTATTCTTAATTGAATAAACGATTACTAGACAGAATCTCTTGTCCTGTTTTCATTACATTTTATTCAATTAAGAATGGAACAATTTATGCGACCTGAGCGACTTACCACAGATCCAGAAAGCGATTCAGCCGACAAGTGCTGGAAACATTGGCGGGAGACATTTACAAATTTCATCGAGGTTCTACATTCAGAAAGACCGGGACGTCCCATCAATAAGCGTGCGCTCCTAACCAACTACCTGTCTCACACAGTCAACGAAATTATCTCGGATTGCGTTACCTACGTAGAAGCAATTGATGTACTGAACGCTACATACATAAAGCCCCAAAATGAGATATTTTCTAGACACCTACTTGCGACTCGCCGACAAGAATCAGGCAAGACATTGGACCATTTCCTTAAGAGCCTTCGGACACTGAGCAAAGATTGCAACTTCTGCCCAATGACGGCATTAGAGGCCCAAGAGCTACACATTTTGGACACCTTCATTAACGGCTTACGCAATACTCAGATAAGACAACGTCTTCTTGAGAATAAGACCCTTACACTTAGAACAGCTTACGAGCAAGCCTATATCTTCAAAAGTGCTATACAGCAGTCTAGTTCTTATTTACAGCCAGACACTGTGGGCGCCACGTTAAACCCACCTGTTCTTACTGTCCCCCCTCATGACGATAGTCCGACGAAGCTTCAAGAACAATCGGTCACTGCCGCTTTAAAAAAGGACACTTGCTATTTTTGCGGCTTATCTAAACACCTAAGAGTCTCATGCCCTGCCAGAGATACTCGTTGTCATAAATGTGGAAAACTTGGTCATTTTTCAAAGGTATGCAAGTCTTCTAAAACTCTATACAAATCCACTCGTCAAAATACTTCTGCAACTTTAGCCGCCTCCCCGACTGCCTTTCAAAAACTATTGTAAAAAGTGAAAATTAACGGGAGGTCTACAAATGCCCTGCTCGATACCGGGAGCTCAGGAAATTTTATCAAAGAAAGCTTGGTAAAAACCAACAAATTGTATTTTGTCCCCTCCCCAGCAGAGTAACAATGGCAAACGCATCATTGTCTGTGCAAGTAAGTGGTTATTGTTTGGTGGACTTACTATTTAATGACGTCTCCTATAAAACCACTAAATTATCCGTAATGAAAAACCTTTGTTGCGAAAAATAATACTGGGACACGATTTTTTGCAGCAACACTCACAGGTTGAAATTCCGTTTGGCGGTTCAATGCCCGCATTGAAAATTTGTGGATTGGCGACAGCAAAAAATCCAGTACCCGTCACTTTTCGAAAACCTAACTGAAAACTGCAAACCCATAGCAGTGAGAAGCAGACATTTTTCTTATAATAATAAAAAATTCATTGACTCTGAGATAAAAAGACTACTTGAGGAGGGTATAATTGAGCCGAGCAAATCACCCTGGAGGGCTCAGGTAGTTATAACCACTTCTAGCAACCATAAAAAGAGAATGGTTATAGATTACTCCCAAACCATAAATAGATTTACTCTTTTGGATGCCTTCCCACTACCCAGGATAGATGAAATGATAGGCGAAATAGCCAAATATCGTATGTTTAGCACTCTGGACTTGAAAAAAGGCGTACCATCAGATCGCCATTAGACCTAGAGACAAGCCATACACTGCTTTCGAGGCGAACGGTCGACTATATCAATTTCGCAGGATTCCTTTTTGGCGTTACGAATGGGGTAGCCAGCTTCAAAGGATAGTCGACCAAATCATAACGGATGAGAAACTGGAAGGCACATTTTGCGTACATCGACAACGTCACAGTATGTGGCCATAATAGAAAGGAACACGACGAAAATCTCAGACGGTTCATGTCCGTCGATAAATACAACCTTACCCTAAACGACGACAAATGCTCGTTTGGACTGGACAAAATAAACCTACTGGGGTATACCATAAGCAAAGGTTTTATGGCACCGGACACAGATCGATTGAAACCTTTACTCCAGATGCCTGTCCCTCACAACCAGCCTTCCCTTCGACGTGCTATGGGCATGTTTGCTCATTACTCTCAATGGATTGCTTCGTTCTCAGAAAAGATACATCCATTGACACAAGTAGAGACGTTTCCTCTGTCCCATCAAGCCGTTGAGGCATTTGAGGGACTGAAAAGGATATTGCAAAATCTGCAATTACAACAATAGACCAAAATATTCCTCTGGTTGTTGAAACGGATCGTCAGACTGTGCTATTGCTGCTTCTTTGAAACAAGCTGATCGTCCTGTAGCCTTCTTTTCAAGGACCCTCTCACAGGCTGAGCGACGACACCCCGCAATTGAAAAAGGAAGCCTACGCCATAGTCGAGGCATTAAGAAAATGGCGACACTACCTGATCGGACGCCACTTTTAAACTTATTACTGACCAGAAATCAGTTGCTTTTTATGTTCAACTCTAAAACTACGAGTAAAATAAAGAATGAGAAAATAGCGAGGTGGAGAATTGAGCTATCTTGTTTCTCCTTTGACGTCAGCTACCGACCTGGCAAGGAGAACTTAACAGCTGATACACTGTCAAGAGCATGCTGTACGGCATCAAGCGGGGACGAACTCCAAGCGCTACATAACAATCTCTGTCACCCGGGCATTACTCGAATGGTTCATGCTGTGAGGTGTAGAAACTTGCCTTTCTCAGTGGAGGAGGTAAAAAGAATTACAAATTCTTGTCGAACGTGTGCTGAAATAAAGCCTCGGTTTTATAAACCCCAAACTGGCGTTTTAATAAAAGCAACACAACCGTTTGAAAGACTCAATCTTGATTTTAAAGGACCGCTACCAAGTAAAACAAGGAACAGATATATATTAACGGTTATCGACGAATATTCACGGTTTCCTTTTGCCTTCCCTTGTTCAGACATATCGGCTGCTGCAATTATACAATGCCTCTGCTCACTGTTCGCCATCTTTGGAGCCCCTGCCTATATACATTCGGACCGAGGGGCTTCTTTCATGTCAGAGCAGCTTCGCAATTTCTACAGGAACGAGGAGTAGCTATAAGCCGGACAACTCCCTACAACCCTAAGGGTAATGGCCAATGCGAAAGATATAACGGCATTATTTGGAAGACTGTTCAATTGGCTGCCTCAAATAACGGATGTTCAATTGATAATTGGGAAAATCTCCTTCCTGTCGCATTATCGCCATTCGTTCCCTATTGTGTACCGCCACGAATGCCACCCCCACGAAAGGTTTCTACCTTTTCAGCGACGGAGTTCAGTGGGAGCTTCGCTTCCATCTTGGCTCTCTCGACCCGGCACTGTGTTTCTGAGACGACATGCACGTTACACCAAGAACGATCCCTTGGTGGATGAGGTAGAGCTTATAGAGGCGAACCCTCAGTACGGCGCGCTAGTACGACATGCAGATGGTAGAGAGTCTAATGTGTCTCTCAGGGACCTAGCACCGGCCGGAGACGTACCCGGACCGTGGATAGCCCCTGAGGACAGACCAACTACCCCTGACACTGAAGCCCCTCCTGGAAGATCATGGCACTGAAATTGTTCCTGACACGCCGTCTGACGACACTGTCTCCGTTGAGGCCCCGTCAGACACTTCGGATGGGCCAACACCTGAAACCCTGACAGATGAAGGGCTAGCACCGAATAAACGTGTTCATCCAGAGACTGACTCTGACGCGGAACGGCCTGCTCCTCTGAGAAGGAAACATTTGGAGCAAGGTATTTTAGAGCCCACAGACAGGCTCGCACTGAAGAGCCTCCCTGTTCGAAAGTACTCCGACCACGAATCATGGACTGCCGAGGCGGCCACTGCGAACTCGTAGGGGGGAGCCTGGACATTTAAGGGACTTTCTTCCCTATCAGTGAGAAATTTGGTGGGGGAGAATGTTGTGAATATGGATTATCTCCTCTTAGATAATCCAAGCTATAAAAGCTGTATACTTCGCTGTCAAGTCAGATGAGTAGTAGTATTCTTAATTGAATAAACGATTACTAGACAGAATCTCTTGTCCTGTTTTCATTACAAGATATTTATACAATGTCATTATGTCTGATATTCCACTACTTCAGAGCCAGTTTACAATGATTTCATTCAAACACATTTCTTCAATCAATACGAGGAATACAATAACAAAATAAAAACAATGTTTATGGATAAAATATCTAAGGGAAGTTAGCTCTATATTAAAGTAGATTTTAATTATTAGTTTACTTTTATAATAGAAAATTATGAGATTTAAATTCACTTCAAACATTCACACATTAACCAAAGAGTGACAAATATTTGATTTACAGCCTCCTCATCAGAATCATGAATATATATTTTCAAGTGAAAAGGCAGTATTTTACAGATAATAAAATGCTTGAAGTAATAGTAAAGATAAGAATGGAAATGATAATAATGATGATACAATGATAGAAATAAGAATGATGGAAGAATACAATTATAAGAATGTAAATAACAAAAATACAATTTACAATATTATTTAAAAAAAAAAAACAATAACATACTGGTAAAGGACTTTGTTTTAGAGAAGATGGTAGAGGACAACGCTGTTCATCTAGTCGACGTCCCTGGCACTGCATCAAAGTTTCAAGGAAATCCTGAATAAGCACAGAAGACACAAAAACAATTTTAAAAAATTTCAATACTTGAAAATTATAATATACTAGTAAATATTTACTTAAGTTTTCAACATTCAACCCAATAAAAAAAAATCTAGTATAAGGTCATTTACTTTACAAAATGAGTTACTAACACTTGAATCAACCACACTGAATTTTTGCCTTTTCTGTAAAACAGTTTCAGATCAAATTTCAGAAACATCTTCATGCATATAGACATATATTTATATCTGCATATGCTGCCATTGTAGATATTTGTCCCTTTTATACACCATTTGAAAATTCACCTGCCTGTATAAGGTCCTGATGGCGGATTCACCTGCCTGTACCTGTCACATTGGCAGATTCACCTGCCTGTATGTGTCACAAAGATTGTGTGATAAAAAAGATTTTACCACAGAAAAGCTAAGATAGCTGATGTGAAAGAGAGTAAGACAACTGCCCTACTTTGGAAGTCTCGCAGGTTAGTATTTATGAAGGAGGAAGTGTTCATTCTAATGTAGATAGGTCACCATAACACCCTCCTCCTAAAATCTTAACTCCACAGGAGTCTGAAGAAAAATTTTTTTTTTTTCTTTTTTATATTAAAATTCTGAGGCTGTATATGTAGCTGTAAAAACGTTTCACAAAAATTAATCCTGGCGAATATTTTTATAGAAAGTTTGAGTGGTTTTCCTCTGCTTGACTTGTTTAATTTATAGAGAAAACAAGCATTTCCTTTTTTTACAACAGGCTAGGTATTTAAAACTTGGCTGACTTGTTTTACCAAGTTCAAAGTAGAACAACTTTGAGAACTTTTATTTGTTTGTGGTCTCAATACCTTTTACGTTTAGGATTGACAACTATTAAATCAGTTGCTTTCCTTTTTCTCTTAGAACGGTGCATTTCGGGGGCTGCTAGAGGGGTTGGAATATCGAAAGTGTCGTATATGACCTTCATAACTGTTTCCTCAGGAAGCCCGCTATCAGCCTGATCAGACATTTCCTAAGTTGGTTGAGATGTCTTTTATGCATAAATTGTAGACCCTTTATAATATATACCATGTTCCCAACTCTTTTTTCAATCGTACCCATCTCCCAAAAAGATTTGTTGCTTTGAAAATTCTGAAAAAAACTTTTTCTCTGGGGTTATATTGTCTTGTAGGTACTATGCTTGTTCTTCCTGGCTTTGTCTGTTTTGGGAGTAATTTATCATAAACAGAACGTATCTGACGTGCGAACATCACCTCGACTGGAGATTGTGAAGCTGGTGTTTTGTTATTAGGTGTAATTCTGTATACTTGAAGAAATTGTTGAAGGGCTTTTTCAATTGGTGTAGCCCTAGCTTTTTTCAAAGCTCTCTTCAAAGTATCCACAAATCTCTCAGCCTGTCCATTAGACCTCAGATGGTATGGAGTGGTAGTGATGTGTTCAATCTGATATGTTTCACAGAAGTTTCTAAATTCTCCAAACGTAAACTGACTTCCATTATCGGACACTAAGGTGTCCACTATTCTGAATCTGACGAACAGTTCATGTAGAAATTTTATAGTAATTTCTGTAGTTGGGTTTTTGCACCTGAGTACTTCAGGCCACTTTGAGAAACTGTCAATTACAATGAGGTAGTAATATCTTTCTAGAGAGCCTGCAAAGTCAATGTGAATTCTAGACCAAGGTAGATCCGTTTTTGGCCAGGGATTGAATTTAATAGGTGGTACCTTTGTTGCCAAGGTATAGCCATCATATGATTTGACAGTGTTTTCTATATCATTGTCCATGTTTTACCAATAGACATAGCTACGTATCAAACTTTTCATTTTAGTACTCCCTGGATGGCCAGCGGGAACATCTTTCAAAATACGCTTCTGGAGTGTTGACAGAATCACAACACGTTCCTTGTATAGTAACACATAATCACATGAGGACAAAGATGAGGACAATAGTCCGACTAATGTAAATACTGTACATAATACCTCATCTCAGAAATATAGACAGACATAATCACATATAGAGAAAATGTGAATAGTTCACTAGTCCTTTTCAAAAATTTTCACTTTTGTTTGCTTGATATACTCATCGTGGAGAGCCGCTTGTCTTATTTGTTCAAGTGTCACTGGAAGTTCCCTTACTGTATTACAAAGGGTAGTTTTTAATTCTCCTTCAGATAGAAGGGAAGCAAGCACTGTATCTTCCAGTGGTTCTTTGTACTTGAGAATTAGTCTTGACAATCCGTTCGCATGGTCAAATGTTTTTGATGACATGTACTCCATTTTAAAGTTGCAATTTAGAAGGATTGTGCTCCATCTCTGCAGTCTGTTTGCTGTGTGAGTAGGCAGACCTTTCTTTGAGCCAAAAATAGTGAGTAGTGGCTTGTGGTCTGTCTGTAGAGTGAAATGTTGACTGTAAATATAGCAGTGGAACTTCACGACTGCAAATATAATCCCAAGCACCTCTTTTTCAATCTGCGAATAATTTTTTTCTGCGGGAAGCAAAGCTCAAGACATGTGAGCTATCAGTTTTATTATTCCATCAGTCATTTTGTGAAGAATGCATTGCCCCTACACCATACGAACTAGCATTACTAGCAACAATGATTTCCAATTCTGGGTCATAATGTATATGAAATAAGTCTGACGTCAGTGTTTTCTTTATTTTTTCAAGTGCCTCCTGCTTGTCTTTCTTTACTAGTTCATTAAGGGGGCATGCAAATTATGCATATTTGGTATGAATGCCTGGTAATAATTTGCTAGTCCAAGGAAGCTCTGCAATGAAACAATGTTATTGCACACCAGCATGTCTTTAATCGTGGCAGCCCATTCAGGATTTGGTCTTCTGCCATCTTTGTCAATTATGTGTCCCAGGTATTTGATTTTTTCCATGAAAAAATGACATTTGGTCTCTAAGTTTGAAACCATAATCTTGAATCTTAGCAAAAACTTTCTGGATGTGATCCTTATGCTTGACTATGCTTTGGCTTTTCATCAGAATGTCATCTAAATAAGCGACTGAGAAGTCAAGGCTGCTCAGCATAGTATCCATGACTTGCTGGAAAATTGCTGGCATGACCTTGATCTCAAACAGTATATGTTCGAATTTATATAATCAACAATGCATATTTATACACAATAGCTTCGAAGTCACCTCTTCAACCGGAATTTGCATATAAGTGTCGCTAAGGTCAATTTTCGAGAAAAATTTCCTCCCATTTAGCTTCGCAAAAATGTCTTCAGGGCAAGGAAGAGGGTAATAATAATCCTTCAGTACAGCATTTAATCCTGTCAAAAAATCAGTGCAAACATGCATGTCTTTTGATTTCTTTTTAACATAGACTGCTGGTGCAGCCAATTCGCTGTACTCTACCTTTGATAGAACTCTAGTTTTTACTAATCTGTCAAGTTCCTTGTTAATTTGTTCCGAGGCAAAAGGCACATTACACTTATTTTTGAACATTGGTTGGACATCTTTTAGTTCAATTTTTGCCATCATCTTGATACACCTGCCTTAACCCACCAGAAAAAATTCCTGGATAGGCTTACTTCAGTTCTTTTTTCAGTTTTTCAGCTTTGGTATTCCAATTTTCAATTTTTTGGCAGTATGAATTTACAGGTAAGTCCCCTGTTACTGATCTTGCAATCTTGCTAGATTTTATCATGGTTGGCTTACCCAATCTTTTCCATGTTTACAAATTTATTATTGTCAAATCAGAACCTAAGTCTGGTTGAAATTCCACACTTTTGTTTAACATTTTTATGTGCACGAATTTTCTGGTATTAGCACCATCTAGTTCATCTGACCTTGTATTTTTTATGCAGCTATTGATTTTATTTTTAGATCAGCAATGTGAGCTTTTTTTCCAACTTGGTTACATATGTAACATCTTTTGTTTTGGAAAATACAATCTCTATACCAGTGTAGGGCCCCACATCTGTAACATGGGTTAGGGGGCAAATTATTTTGCTTTGTTTCATTAGTTTTAAGAGACTTTGTTTGTTTCTGTTTGCAGCGTACTTTTTTGATGTGAGCAACACCCGATTCTTTGATATTTTTACAATCCTGTTTTACACTGATGTACCTCTGACATTCTTCAACGATCTGCTGTAGATTTATATTCGGTTCATTCTTCAATTTGTTTAGTCTTCTTCACCTAATTTCTGCATCTTTTGTTGAAACTAGTCCTTGCACGAATATCAAACATTTGAAGCTATTCGCACTTAGCTCCGCCAGAGCAATCTTCCCATTTTTTTCCTAGTTAGATTAAGACATTTCCATCTCTTATGAAAAAAGATGTCTTTGGACTGAAAAGCTCCATGAGTAATTCCACTGCTTCGGTGAATGTCAACACGCTAGTCTTCCAGGGTGGAATGTAGTTTACGAATTTTGTGTGCTCAGTTGTACCAAGTTTCCTCAAAAGAAGTCGTACTTTTTTCGAGTTACTCCAATTTACACAATCTGTAGTATACAAATCCTCATATCTCCTAAAGTATGATGCAAAGGTTATGTCTTCCTCGGGAGTGTATGAAAAATTCTCTATCGTGCTCCATATGGTGTTTTGCAAAAAAGAAAATTTATTTTTAATGGGATTACTATGGCGTGTCAGTTCTAAAACTTGCTTTTGAAATTCGAGCTGTCTCTTGATTTTCCTTCTGGGTTTGCAGAAATAAATTTTCCATTTTTTCTTGTTGAGAGAGCAGTTGTTTTTGCCACTTCTCTTCCATTCTTTCTTGGAGCTGTAATTGCTGTGTATTTTACAAGATCTAATAAAATACTTTTGAAATCCTCCATGATAAGTGTGTCTTTTTTTTTTCCAGTTTTACTTTTCTGATTTTTTCCAGATACCCTCAAATGAAAAAACTGAGACGAAAAATAAAAAAAAAATTTCTTGTACATCCACTGTTAAAACAAATCGGCAATTACATGTAGTTCTTTTACAAAAACTCATTTGCCTGTGTTTTAGGAGAGTTCCTTTTTAATCCCAGTGGTCCTCACAAATCCTCGTTGCAT